GTGTGTGAGAGAGAGAGAGAGAGAGAGAGAGAGAGAGAGAGAGGGTACTTCCATCGATAGGAATCATATGATGGGCAAAATCTAACAAATTTACCACTAGAACATGGAAATATACACTAGCAAAATCGAATGAATCTACCGTTAGAACATGGAAATATACACTTTGTTTTTTTTCGCTTTTTTTTTTTCCTGTGTGTGTGTGTGCGAAAACTTAGCAACTGACGGGGCATTTTGCTAAGTTGGGCAGCGTCCGGTCGGGGTACATTGCAAAGATGGGATCCAACTGATGGCTGGGGTGTTTCGCAAAATGTTTTGTCATCGTCCTTCGCCGCAGCGCTTGTACTGATAATCTAACCAACAACCAGCAGATTTTCAAAACCTGATTGATTGTCTAAAAGTTGATTACCTGGCCAAAACCCTTGCATTCAACTAATCAATCTAATATGATAATCTCGCCCTAACCCTCTGAGATTCTCGGATCTTCGGATTCTCCACAACTAGGGAAGGTTAACGATCTTGCAGCGAGTACCCCTGGAACCATTTCGGTTGGTAGTTGGTACAGTAGCTCGTGGGTCCTCGCTCACCGGGAGGGTAAGAATGCAATAAGTCGCAGTATCCCAGTGGGACTGTACACTAACTGTGTTTGCTGTTTCCTTGGTTTGGGCCTTGCGGGACTCAATCCCGTGACCTGTAATTTGTACGTTTAGCTCTGAGCCCTACTGGGCTTGATCCTTAGACCTGTAGCTGGTAGTCTCTATTTGGCAATCGTAGACCCTTAGGCTTTGCTGTTTTGTCGTTTTCTACAGTTGCTGAAGTAACCCGGGACTTGATCCCATGACCTGTAGTGTGTTTGTGGTGTTTGACTGTTTTTGAGGTTTGTTGGGCTTGAAGCCTTGAACCTTCAACCTGTCGCTGGTCCTCTCTGCGTCGTAGTCTTAGGCCTTTCAGCCTTGTTGTTTTGTCCTTTCCTGCCCTTCTGGAAACTGGTAGGGCCGTAGGTCTTTCTTTTGTGTGTCCTAGCCTGGGCTCCCCTTAGTCCAGGCTCCATCTAGATGCATGTAGGTAGATCTTGAGTGTTTGGCAGTAGATGTTTGCTGTTTGGACAGTCGGATAGGTCTGTAGGTGGCTGCTGTGTTATAGGTCCAGGGAAGTTTGGTAGAAGTAGGCAGAGGCCGACGAGCTTGGGGGTCTTTTGGTTCTTCTCATTGCCTTTTTTTTCAGTCTTGGTCGAGGTCACGTTGCTTCCCTGCTGCGCTATTGTGGGCATGTATGCAGGGCATCTTCTCCACATGCCGCTGGCGGCCATAGCTGGGGCCGGCCAGCTTCATTGGTGACAAAGCTGGGCTCGGCGCCCAAGTGCTGATGAGCGCTTCCTCATATTTGTGTGCTTGTTGGGGTCTAGTCAGCTGCCACCGAAGCTGCACTTTCAGCGGTTGTTCTTCAGCGTGGCAGATCTTCATCTTCATCGAGTTGCTGTTCTTCTTCATCAGCCTGGAAGCTGCGCTCCACTGCTGAGTGGACACTTCATCTGCAGTGGGCAGCTTGAGTGGTGCAGCGAGGGGTGTTGGATTTAGGAGGGTGTGTGGCGATTGGCAGGCTTGATAGGTTGGGTGCTTGCAAGCACCATAACTAGAGCTCGAGGAAGAGGGAGGAAGAAGAAGACTCCCAGATACATCGATCAAATCTTATAAATAATTGGTCCATGGGTGTTGATAACCTGGTTGGGATCCCTAAAAATTTGTGCTGTTGATCGACTTGGGGAGAGATGGTAATTAGAATTCATTTTCATTTCAACTCTATTTTCGGTGTTTCGATGCTTCCGCTGTGTATTCTTATCATCCAGTGTGGTGTGGATTCCTCCCTCCAAAGGTCACTTGTCATCGCACATGTGTATGGGAACGTGTGGATGCCATGTTGGATCTCGTTTCATAACACCGTGGGTAGCACTTCACACACACACACACACACACACACACACAGCGCCTAAATCGACGGACTTGGACAGCGAAACCAAGCACGTTTAAGGACACTTCTTTGTGTGTTGTACGCAGACAAATGGGACTGAGCAGGGCAGTAGCCAGGCTTCTGAGGCCTCTGCTTTGACATGCACTGATATTCATAACCTAAGGAGAGCTAGCTATGAAGAATTTCGGGCCAATGGCATATTCAGCAGTCTCATGAAAGACATAAATCTATGGATTGCTGCCTATAAGAAGCTAGTGCCTAATCCAGGCACCCATACACATACACACCCAGAGACAAACATGCAAGGGAACGGATTCTCTGCTTCTGAAGTGACATGATATAGATTACAATTCCTTCCTACCTTTCCCTCAAGTGGTTCTCTGTTGTGCATGCATACCACACCATGCACTAGGGCCAATTGCAGTGCTGCATCTAAGCAAAGCAAAATGCCTGAAAAGATTGGCAACATCTACAGCAACCCAAGCCTGTCAGTTCCACCATCTTCCGCCCTCAGCATAGAGCTGCAATTACTTAGAATCTGCCTAGCAGTGCGCTTACAATGTTGTCCGTTTTCTCGGGGAACGGTGAGGGAGGTGGGGAGCAGGGGGGCGACGAGGGGTAGATATAATACATGTGTATTTATGGTGCAGCAAGAAGCATATTACCACGTCCACCAACAGAAATAAAGAGGAGACTACCCGATGCCTTTGTTAAAGTTTGTTTCAGACCTGTTTCTGCTGCATTGACTCAAAGCTCTACCCAGACTCATAGACAAGACAGGAGTAAAAGACCTAACTCAACATCAAAGAAATACACTGAAGAAAAAGAGTGTAAGCCCAACTGCAAAGGTATAGCCAACAGCCAAAAGTGGCAAGAGAATTGAAAAAATCAACCCGGGGACACAGGAATCTTGCAATTTGCCAACTGTGGACTGGACTACAGTGTTAAGGCATTTCTGAAGTTGAAAATGTGGGCAGCAAGTGGTTGTCCTTTTTCCCAACAAGAGAAGATTCACCCAAAACTGAGAAGTGTATCAAAGCTATATTGGTTCCCACAACAACCAAGCTAGCCTTTTGCCGCATCCATTCTCCTGAGACAGTTTCACCTGTTGTGGACTGAGTTCCAGAACGGCCCCAACAGGTTGCGTTTCCACAGTCTAGTTAAGGCCCACCATGGATGATCAGCAGTCTGCAGAAACTTCTGTCCCCTTGCATCTCAGCTGACCAGAATTGAAGTGACGTAAATATCGGAAAGGGGATTCTGTAGCAGTATGCAGGTATGGAAGAACAAGCGTGTACTCTTTCCCCGGACGTAGTTACGAGTGTGTACTCTTACCGCGGATGCAATTACCAGCATGTACTCTTACCCCGCACACAGCTACCGGTGTGCACTTTTACCTCAGACTCAGTTACCAGTGTGTACTCTTGCCCCGGACGCAGTAACCGGTGTGTACTCACACCCCAGACGCAGTAACTAGAGCAACTCCTCTAAGACAGTTAAGAGGACATGCTGCACACCGAGGGTCACACTGCCACAGAGATTTTGAAATGTGGCATTGGGAAGTTGTAGGAACACCTTCATTTCCAGAGCAGCACACCACCCACCAATCAAATGAGTTGACTTCATGTTGTTGATGAGCAGAAGTGGCCACATAACTTGTAGAAAATGAGTTGCTTTCCTTCCAGGAACCTCCCAGCTCATTTCGGATGCCAAGAAGTGCTCGTAGCAGTGGAAACAGCCTATTGTTGAGGTGTGTCGATCCAAACACACCACTGCCAGTGTGTACTCTTACCCCGGGTGCAGTTACCGGTGTGTACTGTCACCACAGACGCAGTTACTGGAGCAACTGCAGCGCTGCACACCGAGGGGCATTGCCACAGAGAGTTTGAAATGTGGCGTTGGGAAGTCATAGGAACGCCTTCATTTCCAGAGCAGCACACCACCCACCAATCAAACGTGTTCACTTCATGTTGTTGATGAGAAGAAGCGGGCAGATAACTTGCAGAAAATGACTTGCTTCTCTTCCAGGAACCTGCGAGCTCAGTTTCTGCTGCCAAGAAGTGCTCATCGCAGTGGAAATGGCCTGTTGTTGAGGTGTGTCGATCCAAACATCAGCAGATGAACCCACAAGGTGCATAGTAGGTGGGGCATCCTTGCGAAGCTGCAGCCGCACATTGCAAACGACGCAAACAATTGTGCATGCATGGAAAACTTATGGAAATGATTTGTAGATTGGATAAGAGTAGTGTTTCTGGGTTTGAGGGGCCTGGGGACTGACTCTTTCAGTAGCGCCTTTTTGTCGCAAAAGGGATGTGGAAGGGAAGGAAGCTCGTAATAATTGGGATTCTGCAATTGAGAGTGTGTTACATGCTCAGTTGGGCGAGATGTACATAATAACCGAGGATCCGCAATGTGATAAAAAGGACTGAATGGACAATGCAGTGCAAGGGAAATGTCAACAAGCAGTGTACATTCTGATACATACAAAAATGGTGCTTTATAGCGTAGGGAAGACTTAGATACAAGTCCTGACCTGACCGAGACTGACCTCTATCACGTAGTGCAAGATAGCGTAGCAGAATGCTAGAATATCAATGACTAGCCCAATCAGTGTTGCAACGCAGACTAAACATACATCATTCTCATCACAAGGTGTGAAGAGACCTGGCGCTATACACAGGAAGAAGGCGCCAGGCCCTGATCATGCACAGACGAAGAGGAAGGGAACAGACGAAGAAGAGGGGGAGAGATGGGAATGTCGTCAACACCAAGTCTTTGTCACAAGTCCCAAATAATCCCTCCTCAAAATGTCTGAAGCCCAAATGTCAAGTCTGGATCCAAATGTCACCAAGCTCTCTCTTTCTCTCATAGTCTGCTGATGCAGTGAAGTCAGGTAGCGAGAGGATGAGAGGGAGATGGTGGACTGAGAAGAGGAAGAACAACTCTCTCTCTCTCTCATATGCCAAGGTACTAACCTGTGAAGATGACGTTGTGCCGCGGGTACTAACCTGTGAAGATGGCGCTGTGCTACAGGATCGAGTGCTACAGTTAGTTGGCACTCGATCCTGTGGGTGAGGATCGAGTGCCAACCCAGACCCTGTGTGAGAAGGGATAGAGAGAATGAGCCACTTATTGCGGACGTGAACATTAGAATATATTTATCATCTGATGAGTGGAGGTTTCTAGTGATAGACGTGAGGCATTGTCGGGCACTCTTCTATCTAATATCTCTCAGCCGTAGGTATGGTTCTCGGTTGTTTGGGGAATTTTCGGCAAGGTCAGATACTATAGCTCGATACTCGGTTCGATACGCGTACGATTGGGAGCTCCCCAGAGTGACTGTCGTCAGGCCTACAACAGTGCCTAGGTTTCTGACCGAGTTGATCTTCGGGAGGATCGATAGTCATCAAAAGTTGGTGAGAGCACTTAGGAAGGCCACCCAGTTTAGGGCCTCGATAGCTGAGCTAGCATGGCTGGCCACGTATTGCTTGGACAGGGCGGTACTTGATCGTAGGAAATTGAGGCGGATCTTTTTCCAAATTATGGCTGAACTCCGTCGGGGGGCAATCATAGGTGAAACAGACAGGGCTAGGATTTTAAACACTGAACCTGAAGAGGACTAGATGTCTCAGTACAAGGAGGAGTACCCAGTTGAACTCCGTCAGTTCGAGTATAGGAAGCCAAAATTTATTGGCGAGGATTGGGTAGAGTTCACCCTGCCAGGAAGGGCGGTCAAACGAGATTACCAGGGGAGAGTGGATAAGGTTTGGAGGTCAGTCTTGATAGGGTATGGAGCTTGGTTGTTTATTGCGACCTCGGTAGAATTTGATCGCGACAGGAGAGGAAGGAAAATAGTGGGGTCGGCTACGCTAGTCGTCGAGGGTCTCCTATACTACCGTACTTCAGTGCTGGGAGATATTGTCCTTAGAGCGGTGGAGCAGGGTTGGAAAGATCCGAGGCTAGGGGTCATGCCAAGCCTGACGTCCACACTTGGCCTGACGAGGAGACGGCCCGGGGAATTAATTCAGAGTGAGGTAGGAAGATTCTGGGAGGAAGAGCTTCATTGGGGTGGGGGATTTAGGTCAATAATTATCTCGTTAAGGTTGGTTGAGCAAGGCTTTCTACCATATCCGGAGGAGGCATTACGACTTCCTGTCCCCATCTTTGTGCTGGAAGATTTCCTTGGAGGACTGGATCATTTGATTCCAATCCACTGGTCTTTCCTCCAACTGGAACTGGAGTGCTTCTTGTGGAATAGCGACGCACACCACGTCTATTACGCATTGTGGAAGGCTGGACCCATGTTTGGGGATTCGACTTTGGAATTGGTGGAAGTAATTCGGTCGGTCTCGCCCAGAGGACCAGGGGAATCACCAAGGGAGGATTAACCTAGCGAGTTCTGGATCTTCCTTGACAAAGTTATTAGGGAGTCATCTGATTATATAGCCGACTTGACCGAGTTATACAAAACTTGGGATTTTGACCCCCTCGATAGCCAGCAAGCCCTCCTAGGTTTCTTTGAGCTACGCTCTTACTATCGTAAGGTAGGGGTCTACGAAGACGAAGAGGAAGTCTACGGGGAGGAGGATTGGGATCAAGCTGAGTAGAAAGACGCTAGAGACGATCCTGGGAGTGGGAGGACTCACGCGATTTCACCGAGTACAAAGTAGGGTGATAAAGGAACTCGGAAAAAGCCGAGCTGAGTGTTAGAGAGCAGTGGTCAGGGTAGCGACCAGAATGGATTCAAGGACTAGAAATGATTGAGCTCTGGCCAGGTAGACTCTCTTGGGAAGAAGGGGTAAACTGGGGGTTGCCATCGTCTAGTGATCCAACCATTGAAGCCTTATTGAAAGACTGGAGTCCCTTGACTTTGGACGATCCTTTCTCGTACGTGATTGAGTACTTCACTGCAATAGTGAATATTGAATTAAAGGAAAAGGTCTATATACTGGTGGCTAAGTTCATGGAGGCTAATGAATATAGGGGTTTACAATTGGAAGGGGAGAAGACTGACAGGCGCATTGTGGGGGTGTCGGAATTGGGCAGAGACGATAACATACGCCTATGAGAGAAAGTTGGAAAAAGAAGGGAAGAGGGCAACAGAATACAGCGTTGCCCCTAGTCCGCCGATAGTTACCTCGATGGGAGCAACTAGTGGCTGGGAGAAGATACGTCTTTACGTAATGACCGTGAGATTTCTCGGAACAGAAGTGCACGATGTGCGAATCGATTTACCAATAGAAAGAGAGGTCGATCTCGTTTACAGTCGACGCTGGGAAAGAGCGAGAGACGTGGTGGAAGATGAAAGGGATAGGTTGGCTTCGTTAGGCAAGACCGTCCTCTAGAGCACTCGACTACTCAGTGACCGAGTGCCAATCACTGGTCTGCTACCGTGAGACTAGCGGCCTGAGTCGATCGTTAGTTAGTGAGAGTTCCAAAACCCCAGACCGATTAAAGTTTGCCCACCTCCCGATCTCATCCAAAGGTCACCTTGGTGGGGTTTACAAAAGAGAAGAGAAGGGGAACGCTCCATGATCGACCTGTACGATGAAACGAGAGGGAGCAGGCAGATAGGAAGAAACAAAGACTATATGTGGTGTTCACTCGGGATCTATACCCAATGGAGGTTCCTCTGCACGAACCCTGATCTCACCCAGGGGTCGACACAATGAAACTTTGCAGAGAGGATGAGAAAAAAATAGAGAGTGAAAAGAGGTTAACGATCTCCTGCACACTCTACCAAGAGAAAGTGGAAGGCTGGGAAGAGGAAGCTATTAATGACGTTCAGGGCTACATAAAGTTAATGCGAGAACGGGGGCTAGAATTAGTAAAAAAACAGAAGCAAATTGAGTATGTCTTATATTTCTACGGGATGAGAGATTCCACAACACTCTCTTTTATTGAGACTGCCGATCAAGCAAAGGGGATTGTCAGTGGTCAATAATGAGTCTACCATGGCAACTTTCACTCAGATCAGCTTGACCATCTAGTCTCAGAAGGACAGCTAGGAGGGAAATAGAGTACAAACGAGAACAAACTACATTGCATACCTTAGTAATCAGGTGAGGAAGTGAGCCCTCATTGCCATCGAGAGACAAAACTACCGATCAAGCACAAAGTGCATTATCAGAATTTGAGTGGTGAAGTAATCAGCACAACCCGCTCTCATTCGACGCAGTCATACAGGCTAGAGAAATCATCAAAAAATTGGCCGTGGAACTGACACTTTTTTTTTTTTTTTTTTTTTTTTTTTTT